TAGGGAAACATTTGGTTTTCTCAGGAAAAAGAAAAAAAAGGTTTAAAAAAATTGTTTTTCTAAATCTAAAATTTAGAAGCCTTTTGACATTTGGCAAATGTTTATAGGATAGTGTATTTAATATTCTCGTGTTATTACAATACTTAAACTGGAAGCTTTAGTAAATTCAACTCTCCTTACTGACAACTCAGCTTTACAGTACTATATAGTTTAACATTTCAAGCACGTTAAGTGTTTCAGCAGCCTTTTGTAGCAATCTAGCTCGTCTCAGTCACATACAGATAATCACTGCAATAGTGTAAATTTGCAGCCCTGTTTTGCTGTGTTTCCTGATCTGTGCCAGGTGATACTCTGATATCATAAGACGGGGAACTGCAGACTTCTGTCTGCTTTTGAAAGCGCAGATCCCTAGTATAGTTTATTATATAAACCGTAGCTTAAATAAACCCGTCTATCATTTGCTGCAGGAATATAGCTTGAAGGTATTTTAAAATGGTAAGAAAGTAAATCACAATTCTTTATCACTTACAGGAGCTTCTAGTTCTGTGAGTTTCTTAATTAAGACTGGATTTGCTGTCTTACTTGGTAGCTTGACATTTAGCATGCTACACTCCTACATTAGTGACTCAGGTTCATGGCTAATATTGAGGTCAGCTGCAGTAACAGTTCAGCCTTACAGGGAAAAAGAGCAGTGCCTTACTTACAAGCAAACCCAGATGTTTGTCTTATATCTTGTAATCATTCTGCAGAGATCTTACATTGTTAGTATGACTAGCTTTATTAAAAAAAAAAAAAAAAAAAAAAAAAAAAAGGAAATCTGCAAATGTTTCTGTCAAAGTGCATTAGCCAATTTTCAACTTAGATTCAGCAGTGACCTCAGGTTGCTCTGATCTCACTGGGGTTTGGGAGTGACACCTGCAATCCACAGTTTATAGGTTTGCCTGTGTGACTCCAGCAGCCTTTGATCCACTCTGCCAAAGTGCAGCATTACACTCAGGGAGAGACTGTCCTCCCCAGAATAAGGGGCAGCACCACTAGGGAGCTGCTGCTGCCCCACCAGGGCTCCAGAGCAAGAAATGGCAGCTCTGAATGACAAGAGAAAAAAAAGCCTCACAGAAAAATTAGCCTTCTTACCTCGTTCCCCTATGTTGTCAAGATGTGAGGTCTGGCTGTATTGAAAATTTTATCAGCTGCTCAGCAGAAAAAATATTAAAATAATGGAAACTTCAAAACCCCTATAAAATCATTACCTTTTTCATTCTTGGCCTTAAAATATGGCACAATGTTCTGCAGAAGAATTTTGGTTTATTTCACTCAAAGGATCCAGTTCTGTCCTCAGAGGTTCTGTGTGGGTCAGTCTCATTGGTCTCACTACACTCAGTGCCTCAGCAGCCACCTTGGAAATAAAGTCCAGTCACGGATAAGGCAGCACAAGGTAAAGTTAGTCCAGAACATGGGGACAGAGCTTCAGCATTTGGAGAAACCATCTGAGTAAATAATCAATTTTGTCCCTGTTCTTTGCTTCAGTCAGGGAAAAGCAGCTGAAGCTATTGAGTACTTGGGAGAGTTTATGAAGGCTGCTGAGAATACCGATCTAAGCCAGTGCCTGGTGGATGCGTGCATATTACTTGGGAATATTTACAATGGAAAAGTAAGTATTGGTTGTAGCAATGATATCAAACAATGGAGTTTAATTCATGGTAAATACCTGGTTTTGCATATAAGATGAACCAGAATAACTGGATCCAGGTGTTGTACTTTGTAAGAGTTACCAAAGGAGAAGATCCTGTGTGACTAAATTAAATGTGCCTTAAGTTTTTGGAAAAGGCAAATATTTCACACCATGATTAACATGTAGGATTGGGGTTTTTTTCTGGAATGGGTGGAAAACCCCTCCAAATTCAGATAATTATAAACTTTTTTTGGATGCATAAAAATCTGCATCCAAATCACCATTTGGGCCAGATATGCCCAGAAAGAGTCATCAATTAACAGAGATGAAAATTTATTGCACCTTACGTTGAAATTTGTGTTGTTTTAAAATGAATATATATTATATTGCATATTAATAAGCAGTTTTTAATATTAACTTGATTTCTTCTCTACAATCTCTTAATCAATAAATTGGTGCTGGCAGCAAATAGTTTGGCAAAGGTCTGTGATGGTAGTGGAAGGGCTTTCTCTTCTATGTGCCTCCATCCAGCCTGATGGCTTTGATTTGGCCTGTTTAAATCAATACATAGGCAGTGAAGTGCAATATTAAGCTAGAGATAACAAGAAATTCCCTTTATTATAGTTTCTAATGTATTTTGAGGTGCTTCTTTCTGACCTATGTGCCAGTCTCTGAGTTGTTCCTCTGGGGCGGGCCCTGCAAAGGCAGCAGTTCTCTTGGCTGCCTGTCTGGGTAGTGGTTTCCACACTCGTATCTCTTACTGCATCGAGAGATGCAGCACTTGCACTGCAGCAGCACTTGCTTTTTGAAATCAGAAAGGTTAAAAACAGTACCATGGAAGTAAAAGATTCATGTTGAGCCCATTAACACATATTTTAGAGCTGAAATGCTACATGAATTTAGCTAAAATTCATAATACAAATAATTTGTTCTGTGGACTGGACAACATGGAAATAAGGCAACACTTTCATTATGAGCAAAAAAATAGAAATACCTTTCTTAATCACCCTTTCTAACTTCCTTTGCCTGTTTTTTTGTTTTGGGGTTGGGGTTTTTTTTTGTAAGAATTTATTTTCTATGTGGAATATATTGAGCAGGCTACTTGCCTCTTTTCACTTACTTTCACCACCCCCAAATGCCTCTTCTTTGTATTTTTTTTTTTTCTGGATTCCTCTTGCAGAGAACTTCCATTACCAAAGTTGGTGGCCCATTTTTGTTTCGCAGGCAGTAGAAAAATTTCTTATTCTGTAATCTCTATATTAGCTTGAGAACCTTCTACTTACATATGCTCTTGGCATAAATGCTGATTTTCCCATTAAAAACTTAAGTTATCAAGTCTCCAAGAACTTTCTGCAGAAATTTTAATATGGATCTGAAATGTAGGAGAAAATAGGGTGATGTGATGCTGTGCTGAATTATTCTACTCCTGCTTTGAAAATAGTTAACTAAATTCTGTTTACCTACTTTGCTATGTCACTGTTTCTGCCACCACTGCTAATAATTCTATGGGAAATAGTATTTCAAGAATTAACCTCTTGTTGGTTAGTCTCTAAATTCTCTTTCTCAGTTCAGAATTTGCTGCCTTGAACTGGGGTAGTGGTAAGGAAGGAAAAGACATAGTGACTTACTAGCTTACATACAATATGGAATATAAAGATTTAAAAAAAAAGTCTCCTCAAGTTTTACAGTTCTGTATTTTCTGTACCATTTTTGCAAGGTCAGCAATACTTACCAAAACTGAGTCTGAATTAACATTCCCTCTCTTCTATCACCTGACTGCTTGGTGTCAGCTGTCATCACCTGTATTCTCTAAGTCATTATTAGGGTATTTTTATTCAACTAGGTACTTCCCTTACTGATACAATTTGCAGTAATACTGTCCTTCTCACCAAATTGAAGATATCTTTATTTATATCCAGATCTGAGGACCCTGAGTAAACCAGGGATATACCTTTTACTATGTTTCCCAAAGTAATTTTGACCAAATTAACTGTGCTCTGTCCACACTGTTTCTGAATCTTTACAGTTCTGTCACCTCACTATCCCATTCCCATCACTGTCTGTCTTTAACACTCAGTTCCTGCTTTCTTGTCATTATTGTTTTACCCATATGTTTTTTGTTTCCTTTTGTGCCTGGGTTTCAGTTATGCACAAGTATTGAGTCTAACTTCTCTCATTTTGTTAAGCAGGCTGCTTGCTTAATATGCAAACTCTGGTAGAGTTAGCATGACACAATCTCGCATTTCTCATCTCATTTTTCTCAAGATTCTTGGTATGATTTGCTACACTCCTCTCACTAATTGCATCACTTAACTTATTATAGTTCTCATGAGTATGGTAGGTAGATATTTCTGCTTCTTATCTTTTATCCTACTGCTTATGGTTCTTTATTCATCGCTGTATCCTCATAGGCTTAGTTCTGTTGTCCTGCTGTATTAAACAGACTAAAGACTGCCTGAATTTCTATTACTCTCTCTCCTTATTTAATTACAGGCACATTTTAGCAGTCATACAAATTTTGATCCTAAAATATGGTATGAAGTGCAACAAGTATCAATTTGAGACTCTCCTACTGGTCTCTATCGTCTGTGCAGAAGGGAATTTCAATCTTATGAAATCAAGCTGAGCATAAAAGGATAAGACAGCTCTGAAAATATTTTCTGTGCCATCAGAGCAGGAGAATTCCACACCAATGGGAGAATGGGAAGGCATCTTCCAGGCAGCAGGCAGGCTATAATTAGTGTTTATGCTAGACATGTAGAAACTGCCATAAGAAGAAATGTTAAACTTAATGAAACAATAGCAATAATTTCTAAGTGGCCTGGCTGGAATGAGTGCTAATACTTATCATAATATTGATAAAATTATTAATATTTTTATATATGGATATACTAGGTAGATAAAATAAGAGTAATATGGATATACTTAGATTTGTATGTTCAAAATACTACATAGACAACAAAAAGCAATTCAGTTCCTGCAAAAGAGAAGAGCAGTGTTATCTGGATTTTAGAAGTCAGAAGAAGCAAGGGAGAGTGATTTGCTTAATATTGTGCTATGAGTCATTCTGTGGGCTGGCCCCTCAGCTGTTAAATCTCTGAGGTGCCTGAGGAGCACATTCTAATCTCAAGGTAAAATACAAGTGACTACAAGTAGTTTTTACAATTATTTTCTTTTTTCTCTTCTATACTAGGGGACCTACAGTGAAGCTTTTGAAAAATTCAAACAGGCTTTTGAGACAGCAGAAACTTTTAATAATATGCCCTTAGTGAATAAAACAAAGATCTACTGTGGCATTGCAAAGGCTCATAAAATGATGGTGGCATTTAACAGCCATATAGAAGCAGAAGATCCCGTTAGCCTCAAGTACCTGCTGGCATGGAAGGAGAACAGAAGTGACGTGTTCACTGACCCTCTTACAGTTGGTAAGACATTGGTTATGAAACACATTAGTGCTGTATTGTCTTCAACAGTTAAGTCGTTTTCCTTGTAGAGTTTTATTAAATTATTTCCTGAGTTTAATCCTTGTACGGAATAGAGGTTAGATTTACTCCTTTGTGTGCTTATTTTAAAGGCTGAATTAAATAGGTTTAAATACAATATAGCATAGAGAAAGAGATAGCAGTAGCTGCTATGAATAGCAACTTTTTTTCAGTGCTATTTTCTAAAACACTTCAGTTATGTGTAAACAGTGACAGTTTAGTCAAATATCATTATTTTAATCTTGAAAGAAAAAAAAATCTTCATTTTCAGTCAGTTTTTGAAGTGCACCCAAAAATAAGTTCCCTGTCACTAAAAGTAAGAAGTAATTTCTGCCTGACATAGTGGATATAGTTCTGAATTCAGAAAAACATGCTGTTTTATTTTTAGCATCCTTATGCTTGACTTTAGAAGGGAAGAAAGAAATAAAACAAAGCCGTTCTGATTTCTTCACCATGTTTCCTTGTCTCAGATAGAAAGTAGAGGAGGACTTTGTATGGAGTAGACCCGTTTCTTCATGAGTTAAATTTTCTGTACTTTTTTTCCCCTGTACTGTGTATTGATACAGTACAAACTGAATTATGTATTGTCTCCAAGTATTGATAGTATTAAACTGTGTTGTGCTGGGGAAGGGAGATTAATCTGCTCCACCTTAAAACTTTCCTCTCTGCATTCCTGTGGAAAGTGTGAGTCTGAAGTACAGTGGAGATAAATGACAGCTGGGACTAAGTCATCATGTGAAGCTTCAGAGTTACTGTGTCCAAAGAACTGCTTGTCTGCCATTTTCTTGCGTATCTTTTCATACAATTGGAGCAATTAAGTATAACCTCAATGGTGAATTTTATATATAAGTGGTTAATAGCCTGGTAATTTAATATGTTAGCAGCTTAACAGGAACCAGGGCACCAGAGGCAACTGAGAACTGTGGGACAAGAACATTCATTGAAGAGATAAATTAGATAGTGCTATATTTACAGTTCCAGTGATGGTAACAGAGCAGCTCTTTCTCAATGACAATACATTTCTTTTTCAATGATTATGTATATTTATTATTTTTGTCCCAGTAAGTGAAATTCAGCAAACTCACAAACAGATTTTTTTTTGGCCCAAAGAGTTAATTTAGTACGTCTCCTGCAAGGGATAATAAATTTCTACCTACCTTCAACATGTATTTTACTTCTTGCACCTAAAGAGCTTTTCTGTTTAACTTTTATACATTGCTTTCTCCAGCCAGTTGGGAAACTCATTTATATCCTGAAATTATATGTGCCCGTTTAAGCTCAAGTTTCATGCAGAACTTCAGGATTTAAAAAAGAGTGTGATTAGAAAAGCCTGTCCTGGCAAGCATGGTACCAGAAAGAAGTTTTGCCTGCTGAGATTCTTTTTCTTTAGTATTTCTGCCTAGTTTACCCTCTGTTACTTTCACTAGTGCAGTTTTTGTTTTAGTTCCAGTTAACTCCAGGAACCCTGTGGCTACTGCATATTTAGCAGCTCTTCCAGTTCAATATCATTCTTCTCATTAGTGCTCCAAGCTTTCCCTCATGATACCGAGATTACATCCAGGAAAACACAGTGTCACGCTGTCAGCACGATCTGTAACATTCTTCGTGTTTTCGGTGCCAAATCTCTCGTTAGTACTGGCATTACATTTTTAATATCTTTGTCTGGCAAAACATGACCTGGCATCAGTTCAGTAATTAGGATTCACTGGCTTTGAGTTTCAGGTACAGCCTTTATCCTACCTTCCAGCAGAATGGCTGTGCATCCTACAATGAACTCATCACTTTGGAAA